GGTTGCTGTGAGCTGTGATGCCACAGTACTCTACCCAAGGTGACAGTTTGAGACTCTGTCTCAAAAAAAAAAAAAAAAAAAATAGTTGAGAGGCACAACAGAGCTCCCAAGCTCTCCAATGCAGTGCCCTTCTTATTCTATGCATCCAGTCACCAGTGTTGTCCAGTATGGCAGCAGGATGTGGCCAGGGCCTGCTCAAACCTGGTAGAGGACCACCACCACTCACCTAGCACCCAGCTTGATTGGACAGAAGAGAGTGATGAAGGTCTTTTGTAATTCACAGACATTTACCCATTTTTGTAAAACCACCGTAGCTAATGGTGGCACGTCCAGTGTTGGGTGACACAGCACTGTTCACAGAATTCCCAGCGGCATTTAGAAATCAAAACACTAGTCTTTGTCTTCTCAGATCTGTGACTTTGTGTGTGTTTAGTGTCAGCACTGCTAGCAGTCTCTCGAGGGCAGAGGCCCCGGTGAGCCCTCCCTCACAGACTAATAGGACGGGCGTCTCTTGGCTGCACACCTTTGGGCAGGGTGTGAACTCCAATATCAAGAAGATGGAACCATGCCCCCCCCACACACACAGGCTGGCCCCACAGTGAGGGCTGCTGGCTCCACCAACCTCTGGGAAGCTGAGCAGGAAAGCACTGAATGGCTCCTGATCAGGAGAAGAATGTAAGTGCTAGAGCAAGGAGGAAACGTGAGAAGTGGGACGGTCAGGAGGCACAGCCACCCTATCTGGGGCAAACTAGAGGCAGCCCTCAGTTCTGCGCGCCGGACCTTTCCATACCTGAGGCATCCAGTTTGTCCCAGGGCCTCGAGGGTCTCCAAAGGATCCATCGGTCTTCATGGAGGAGGCAGCGTTTGCCCCGGGCCCAGAAAGCCAAATTAGATTTTGACAGACTGGAGGACTCAGGACAGGCCTAAAGACCTGGGGCAAGGCCTCACATAACTGGCATCCAGTCGTTCTTGCCGTCTGGGATCAAGAATGCCACAGATGCAGACCTTCCCTCTCCATGTCTTAATTATTCTGGCAACACCACGAAGAACAGTAAAGGCAGGCCAGGCACAGGGGCTCATGCCCGTAATCCCAGCACTCTGGGAGTCCAAGTCAGTGGATTGCCTGAGCTCATAGGTTCGAGACCAGCCTGAGCCAGAGTGAGACCCTCCATCTTTAAAAAGGATGGGTGGTGCCTGTGCTCAGTGGGTAGGGCACCGGCCCCATATACTGAGGGTGGTGGGTTCAAACCCAGCCCTGGCCAAACTGCAACAAAAAAATAGCCGGGCGTTGTGGCGGGCGTCTGTAGTCCCAGCTACTAGGGAGGCTGAGGCAAGAGAATCACTTAAGCCCAAGAGTTTGAGGTGTCTATGAGCTGTGACACCATGGCACTCTACCAAGGGCAACAAAGCAAGACTCTGTCTCCAAAAAAAAGAACAGTAAATGCAGAAAGCAGGGTGCCCAGTGGTGGCAGCATGGTGGGCACAGCAGCTTTGTTCTAACACTGGAGCAGCCCCTGGAAGTAGAGTCGTCCTGGCCCACCCGACGGTGGAGCAGAAGGTGATGTGAGGTGCTAGGGACTACACGTGTTCGGTAAACAGGGGGAAACGGAGATGGGGGCACTTGAAGATTATCTGCAGGAACAGCCCCTTTGGTGACCCAAGACATGAATAGTACCATGACAGACACGCGGTGGGCTTACCAGCCCCACAATCAGGAATCCCGTGCAGGGACCGAGTGGCCTCGACTGCTCCCCACCGTCACGAAAACCAGACACACATTTCCAAATGCCTCCATGTGCCTCTGGCCTGAGTGTGCATGTTGTGACAGTCAAGTGCCAGGTGGGTCCCAGAGCAGGGATTCTCAGCCTTGGCCCATGCTAGCATTATAGGGAAGTTTTTGTCATCCCAAAGCCAGGAAATCCAAACCAACTCATCAGAGTCTCGGGAGTGGCCACCAGGCAGCAGTGTCCCTAAACCTCCCCAGTGGGTTCTGCTGTGCAGTCAGGATTGAGCAGCAGTGGCACAGAGGAGCTTTGTCATTCAGTCTGAAATGTCACTGTCAACCTCCCACTCAGACAGCCCTTGGCAATTTCCAAGTCTGAAATTGGTTTCATTGGGCAATTAGCTAGCTTTATTTTTTAGCAAACATAACGTCCTTTACTTCAAATCAACTGCTACATCTGCAGCGGACCTTCAAAGGAACACCTAACTGGGGTTTCAACCTGTGGGAGCTGCAGCCTGACACAGCACACAGGCTGTCCCGCAGAAACGTCCTGAGCAACAGCTTGCCCTTCTCCACCTTTAGCTGCTTGTGCTGGTTCCTACAGGAGCTGTGGGGCTGTGAAGTGGCTCCCCGAGTGTGGAGTCAAGCCTCACTATTACAAAGATGCCATCTGGATGGATTTGACCCAGAGACCCAGCTAAGACACACACTTCCTGGCCTGCCCACCCAGGTCCACCCAGCAGCATTCATGCCCAGAAATGCACCCCAAATCTGCCACCCAGGATCCATGCAGGCCATTTGCAGAGGTTCCTAATCAACACTCAGCTTGAATTGTCTACAAGCAGCTCAGGAAATCTGACCAGGGGCCGCGTCAGCTGCTGGCATCTCCCCCAGTGTCTGCAGAGCACAAGAGTATCCCATTGGGATTGTCCTCTGGAGACAGTGGTGGGTGAGAGTGGACCCAGCTTGGGGGACTGCTAGTGGCCAGTGGCTCTGGATGTGACTCTTCCAGGTTCCATTCTCAAATGCTGAGTGGTGGGACCATCTCCCCACCCAAGGTCATTCCTTAGCTTTGAGCCCACTCCCCTCAGGCTTAAAGCATCCCCAGGCTCCTCAAACTCAGCCTGGCCAGACCTAGGGTTCCCCACCTTCCCAGCCAGCCATCTGCCCCTTTGCCTTGGAGACACCCCTCCCTACCTCCTCTCAGCTCATTTGCAACTAAAATGTCATCATTTGGCTGATGTCACTCCCTAAATTTGCCTCCCTCCCCATGCCCCAATAACTGCTAAAGCATTACTTGCTAGTTGACTTACTGCTGTGGACACAGCCCCTGCTGGCCTCTCTCACCTCCAGTCCAAGCCAGGCCAGGATGACCAAGGGTAGCATCTCTGTGAGATGCAGTCCGGCCCCAACCAGCTGGGGCTAGGCCAGCAGAGGGTGCTCTGGCCCAGCTGAGCACCCAGGACTGGGACCTGTCCCTAGAGGTAGTCCCAGGCAGCCATGGGCACAGCAGCCACCAGCACCTAGGCACACCTGGGCAGGCCCAAGTCACAAGCAGAGTTCCAACAGATAAGCCCATTTTGCAAAAACTATTTAATCAGAACAAATAGAGGCAGGGTAGGGCAGGGTCCACTGGGGCACCCAAGCCCCACTTCTCCCACTTCCAGCTCCAGTCTGGGTGGGCTCCAGCTTTGCAAAGGAGAAGCAGAGTCACTTTGTCATCCTGGTGTCCTCGCAAGGTTACTGAGGGGCCAGCGTGGTCTCAGGTTGGAGTCTGTGCCATGGGGCAGTGAGCTACCCAGGGTGCCAGGTGAGCATGCCAGGCCCGCTGCTGTCCCACCAGGCTTCTCCTTCCCCTTCATCCAGGGGAGGGGTGGTCTCCTGGGTTCTACCAGCCCTGCCAGAAGGGGGCGTCAACAAGGATACCAACAAACACTGGCATCCCTCCAGCCAGGCTGGGCAGAGCCGGACCTCTCTGTGGCCAGTCCAGCCAGGGACAGGTCAATACCCAGCAGCCTCTATCTAAAACAGTGGTTCTCAACCTTCATAATGCCATGACCCTTTAATACAGTTCCTCATGTTGTGGTGACCCCCCCAACCATAAAATTATTTTTGTTGCTACTTTATAACTGTAATTTTGCTACTGTTACGAATCATAATATAAATATCTAATGTTACGTGACCCCCAAAGGTCACCCACAGGTTGAGAACCGCTGGGAAAGCTCTAGAGAGCTAAGGCCGAGTGAGGATGCTGTGGGACTCGCTGCTGATGTACTTGCTAACACGCGGTGCTGGACCTCATGAAGTGAGGCAGGTTCCAGGAATGTCACACAGTGCAGCCCAGTGGCAGCTAGTGCATCTAGGCGACATCTCAGTCCAGGTCTGTCACGAGCTCAGGGCCTCACACACAACAGCCAGATGTGGGGAAGCCAATCCCTCCTCCACATGAGAAAACTGAGGCCAGCCCCTGGCAGAGTCTCCATGAGCCCCAAAGGATGAGGCAGCACCCTGGCCTGAGGGTCCTCACGGCTTGTTCTGTGAGTCTTATTCTGTGACACTTAAGATGGCTGCTCTGTGGGTGCTGCTGCCCAGGCGAGGAGCCCTGGTGGCCACAGCCTCAGGCCAGCAAGAGTCTAGCTCAGGCTCCCTGAGGGGCCAGCCTCAGCCTGGGCAACCCCCAGACTGAAGGTGGGGGGTGATGAAGAAGGGGGAAGAAACAGGCCTCCATGTGCACACCCATGCATGTGTTCACAGTCTGTCTGTCTACCCCAGCTCCTGCGGTCAGCGTTGCACAAAGACAGACCCTCCCATAACGGAACGCTTTTGATCATGAGTTTGCATCTCCACCATTTTCCCTTCCTAGGTCTGACCACAGGCAACAGGTGAACGCTGTGAAGGCCAAGGAATGGACACTGGGCTCTACCCCAGTAACAGGGCACAGACCCACAAGGAGGAGGCCCAGCCGGCTGGCACCATGCGACTTACAAGGGGAGTGGCACAGGCAGCTGAGGGCAGCTTTCCTTTCCATTTCCTCCTCCCTCACCAAACTTCAACTTTCTTCCTTCCCCAAGTGCCCCGTACACCTGAGGAGGAACCACAGGGAAAGATCATCAGCAATCGTGCCTGGGCCAAGAAGGCTGCCCGCCCACAGACGGAGGCAGACGTCCAGGATGCTGTCCAGCCCCAGCCCCTCTGCCCACCTGGCTCAGAGCGGCCCCGACCCTTCTGTGGCCCCTCACCTACTCCTCTCCTTCCTCTCGTAGACGGAGTGAAGCTTGTTGATTAAGAAGATTTTGTCCTCTCCCTCCTAGAAAGGCCAGAACACAAAGGGGAAGGGGACAGCAGTTGTCTATTCATCAAGCCACCCGGTTCTGGTCTACAAAACTTATGATGTGTATTTTACATCACAAGCAGCAAAAAGCCAGAAGAGGTGAATGAGGCAGCAAAACAAGGATCAGGAAAAGCCAAGGCCAGGAAGCAGGCACATGTGTGGACCTAACCTTCCTAGTGGCCAAGGTGAGAAGGGAAATGTAATCACCGGCACAGCCAGGGCCCAGAGCCAGCCTGACTCAATTTAAAACTGGCCACCTACTAACTCTGCCTTGGACAAATTACCTGCACTCTGATCTCCATGGCACTGTCTGCATAGGGGCATAATGCTTTCCTATTGCTGTTGGATTAAACACCTCAAATCTAGTAGCTTAAAACAACACAAATTTATCCCCTTCCAGTTCTGAGATCAGAAGTCCAAAATGAGTCCCACTGTGCTATAACCCAGGGTCAGCAGGGCTCCTTCCCTCGGGAGGCTGCAGAGGACAAGCCCCTTGTGTGCCTCTTCTAGCTTCTAGAGGCCACCAGCACCCCTTGGCTCTCAGCCCCTTCCTCTGCTTCAAAGCCAGCAATGGCCAGTCGAGTCCCTCACATGGCATCACTCTGTCCCAAACTTCTGGCCTCCTTTTATCACAGATAAGGTGCCCAAGGTTACAGTGGGCCAGCCGGATATCGAGGACAATCTCCCATCTCAAGGTCAGCTGACCAGCAACTGCAATCCCACCTGCAGTCTCCATCCCCTGCAGGTGCGTGTCTCCTGTCACAGGGCGTGGATGCGTTTGGGGCCAGTGCTGGGTTGACCCAGGGCTCTTTGGACAATGAATATGGAAAGCTTATAAAGCATTCAGCTCAGACCTGTGCAGATAACCACCAAACGGATGGCAGTGACTGTCACTACTCAGCTTGGCCTGGGTTCTCTGCAGCGAGCAGCTGGCCAGGAGCCAGGCAGAGCAGTTCTGGTCACTTGGTAACCCTGTTGGACCCAGGAACACCACTTACAAAACATGCAAAGGGGACCACAGGCCCCTTAGCAATACCCATGAGCTGTTTCTGTTGAGCTGACTGCAGGTTCAGGGGGTGCCCCTGAGCTCAGATGCTCTGCCTGGCCCTAAAGAATCAGGGGCTGGCCCTGGGTGGACATGGCAGCCAGCATCTACCTGAAGAACGGTCCTCCCGATCCCTCCTGGAGAAAAGGTAAGTGGATCCAGGACTCTCCCCCTATGACTCCTAAGCCCTCCGCCCCACATAGCATCACTCTGAGGCTCACAAGGTAGGGCAGAAGTCATTTAACCAAAAACTCTCTTTGAGAGCTATAGCCAGGCAACCACCCCAGCTGAGACACCCAGGTATGGCTCTGCTTCCTGGGAGCTCACTAGACACAGAAACACGGAGGGCCAGGAGCTGGTGCGTGTTCATTGTTGACAGCCACAGAAAAGTGGGAGCTGCCCCTGCAAGCACTTCCCACCCGGGAACAGCTGCCCAGAGCCCTGCCCCCAGCACCAGCCAGCCGGCAGCAGGGCCACGTGTCTGCTGAGTGCTGAGGCCACGCCTCATGTGCCCTGTCCGGTCCTCGCCTTGGCATACAGCCAGCCGCTGACCTCCAACAAGCACTCCTGCCTGGTGTGAAACACACCTGGTGACATGGGCACCCCACGGCCCCTAAATGTAAAACTACAGGAAGAAAAGACAACATGGAAACAAGGAAGGTGACGACAGGGCCCTGGGGAGAGTTGGAGCCAACTGGCCTCCCCACACTGCAGCACACCAGCTGGCCGTGCCCCAGGAAGGTGAGAGGCCAACCTAGGTGACCCAGCTGGGAAATACTTTGTTTCCAATTTTATGAGCTGCCCGGTGGACAAGCAGGTGCTCCTCAGGGCAGAAGAGGGGCCACCCCCGAGAGGAGGGCGCACATCTGAGCACTATCCCACTCACCAGCTCACTCCCACAACAAACCATAGGGTTGGCTCGGCGCCTGTGGCTCAAGAGGCTAAGGCGCCAGCCACATACACCT